CCATGGAATCGCTGGGAGGGTATGCTGAATCTGGAGTCATTCCCTTCAAGAACTTGCCTATTCTGCGTTAAAAGACAGGGGGTTTTCCTTCAGTGAAAGAGGCACCTCGATGTCGTTCCCAGGACTGGTACCGCCTGGCGAGCCTGGCACGTCGATGTCGCATCGGATCTCAGGCTTTGCTCGACAAATCGTGGCTGTCCAACCCAACAAACGTAAGCTACTACGTAAGCCTTAAACCCCAAATCGCAGAGTCCCAAAGTCCCTGAGCAGAAGGGCAGACAGCAACATGTGGGTAGATTTAGCCGAGCTTGAATTGGCTATCCTTGTCTTCTCACCGCCACCTTTGGGTTGATTAACTAACATTAGTAAATCGCACACCACTGGATGAATGTGGACTGCACACAAGTATGGTATTTGCAACTTCACGGGGTTGACTACAAGCTTTCCTGTCACACACACACAGAAACACGAACCCACATGGGCATCTTGTGTTTGAACAGGAACCACATCCATAGTGTGTTCTGAAATTTGGGGGACCCCCTTTTTCCTTGGTCTTTCTGGAAAGCCGACCGGCATTTTGGCAGGAAACTGACCATGCTTAGGGGTCTGTGTCTGTTTTGGGACCAAGGTATTTGAAAAAACATGGGGGGGACCCCTCAAAGTGGGCGGTGTTCCTTCTGGGTCTATAGACCTTCCAGCGGAGGATGAGCTTCCACGCCAATTTCCCGCGAGTTTCGGTTGGGCTGATTCCAAGTACCTGAGCAGCCCAACCCAACCAGCTGTTGGCTTAGAGGTCCCTCTCTGTATTTGTGAACATTGGGGGGGGACCCCTGACGATTCGGCGGTTTTCCTTGTGGGTTCCCCTCAAGCCAAGTTGGGCAAAGGGCAAAGGGCCCCAGAAATCGCCGCCCACTCCGCCAGGTGGTCGGGGAGAGCTTCCCGGAGGTGAGAGCGATCAAAGGGCCCGACGAAGTCGTCAAGGACGTTTTTGGGCTCGAGCGGAGGTGGGCGAGGAATTTTGATTTGGACCCGACATGGGCATCGGACTTCGGTGGGGGTGAATCATGTCGAACCACTTTCTGGAAAGTGGGCTCCTTATTTAAATGCATGGCCATGTGGGAGTGTGTCTAGTGTATATATTGTTTTGGGGGGTACCCGGGTTGGTTGGTTGATTTGAATGGACAGAAGGAAAACCACCATTATTTTTTTTGGGATCCCCTATTTTGACACAAACCCATGGGTGTGCTTGTGTTTGTGTTCGTGTCTGTGATTGCGTAGTCTTATAGTACAGACAGGAATTTCGTGGACGGAATCTGGGCTTAATGAATTCCGCAGGGCTGCCGCTGGTTTGGACTAATTTGTTGGGCAAGGCTTAATGTATTCGTTTTGCTTGGTGGCTCGCACCAGCTTGTCTCCCCGCTTGTATTCCTGTTTGTCTCCCGAGTCTCCCCACTTATCCTTCCACTTGTCTCCCTGCTTATAGTTGCCGACTCGGACCTTGTCACGGCTGGTCTCCCTACTCGCCTCCGCGCTTGTCTCTCCGCTTGTCCTGCTTGTGGTTTGGTGACTCGGACGCCTACCTGGCACTTGTTTGCTTTCCCTGACACGTACTTCTGCATTTTAGTATTCCGTGATGGAAAACAAAGTTGCGACAAGACTTGACAACAAGAGTTGGTTACCCAATTGATTGTTCCAATCCCAGTCATTCGAAGCAAAGCCTTGTCCTTGACTTGGCATCTGGATTTCGCTGCCCAGATACTGCTGCTGTGATGCTACTACATTTGTCCTGCATCTCAAGTGAACACATGTAGTTCCTGTACAATTGTATCTTCTTCGGATTGGCTGCGTCTTCCAATCGTTGATACTGTGGATGGATGAAATCCTGCACCACCTAAGAAGCCCTGGTTTCCGATGATTCCCCTGTAAATACCAACAAACAATGGTCTCCCATCATGTCTTCGGTGGTGCGAAATGGATTTCGCAACCATCCACAGTATGGGGCAGCAAAATCCATCACCGGGCAGCTGCGGTCCAACCCGGTCTAGGCAGGAGTTAATGCAGGACTCACCTCCTGGAAAAGATTGGGGCAATTCCTGCTGATCTCGCTGATATGTACTTGCTCGCCACGTGAGGAGTACTTCTTCTCCAAGTTTATGAACCTTCAGCGCACGCTCGCGCTGCCCTCCGAGCTGCCGGGGGCCCTGCGGCCCTGCGGTCTGGTTGGTCGGAAGTCGTATTTCTGGAGACCCGGGGGGTTGGCGGGGAGGTGATTTTAGCATAAAGTCATGCTACAAAACACGGTACTCGCAGTGTTTTTATGAGCTTTGCAGCGCTAGAGCTACATCCCAGGGAGCACCCCTTCTGTTTTTTTTTTGGTCGAGTTTGGGTGTGTCCAATTTGCATCATGGCAACAAGCCCGAGGTACTCGCTCGCTTTGAGCCTTTGAGCCTGGTCGTTGACATCTGCCTGCCAACCAGTCTGACGTTTGGCAGCGTCAACGGGCAAGATGCAATCCGTAAGTTGAATGACACGTTTTTGTCCATCGTGACCTTGTGAGAACCCTAAACCAGGGGAACATTTGGAACACGGGCTGCAGGATCAAGGCGGCAAGATGGATAAGTTATTGTGCTGGCGCTATTTGGGCGTTCTGTGTTGAAACTCGACGACGGAAAACTCCCATGGCTTGCAAGCCAGCAAGTACACACCGAGTTCCAGTGCATGTTGCTGATCTTTTAACAAGACATGCTCTCTCTGCGGCATGATTGTTTCGCAAATGTTCCATCTTATTTCTGCCATAGACCATGTAGTTGTTGCACGCGGCGTAGTCCCAAAAGCCCCTCTTTGGTGCCTGGACCTGCGGTAGAGAACTCGACAAATCCGAGGCCGCGCTTGACCCATGTCACATGTGAACTTGGGGGTTGATCAATATTCCCTTCGGCCAACAAGTGACCAAGGGTAACTTTTCCCATTTAGTTGGACATATCTTTTTTCCCCTGATGGTCATCCCATAAGCACCTTTTGTTCAACCCCCAACTGATAATGATTCGTTTGATCAAGTTGTCTTTGCCATCCTATTGGAGTTACAGCTCAGCTTCCAATGGAATATGGCATATCCCGTCCGACGACTGGATAGCTTGTTCCTCCGAACTTCGACTGGCCATGAAGGCTCTGCGATTGCTATCACATTGCCTCGCAGATTTGGAAAGTATTTGGATATGCAGGCAACACCTCAGATCTCAATTGCTTTCAGTCAATGTCAGTCACAGGCTACTTGCGCCTTGCTTCCTGCCTCGTGCCTTTCCGTGCCTTTGCTGATGCCCTGCTGCCCCTGCTGCCCCTGGTGCCCCTGGTGCCCCTGGTGCCGCTGGCTTCCGAAAAAAGTGGCCGTGACGGTTGGCATGGCGATGCCGCGTGAATGTTGGGCGCCGGGGGCCTATCTCGCGCGAGGGGCGAGACGGTGCTGAAGGGCCACGTGAACGTCGAGAAGGTGGAGCGCCACGAGGCCGACGGACCCATCCTTCGTTTCGGGTTTCGGGTTTCGGCCCCCGAGGTCCGGTGGGGGGAAACCACTTCGTTCGGTTCGAGGTCCCGTGGAAAGGTTCCCTGCCGGAAACTGGTTGGTCCATCAGGTCCTTCAGCACTAGCGTGCCAAATTTTGTTTAAGGCTTGAACGCGTCGTTGCGACGACACAGGTACTCGACATACTCAATTAGAACTCTGTTGCCCAGTGGATTCCGCCTTTTTTCCTTTTTTTGGGGAAGGGGTCCCCTTCAAAGTCAACCAACCAAACAAAGGATGCCTTTGTTTTTCATGGAAATCCACTGGGCATCTGAGTGGACCAAGCAGCTCAGTGCTGGCGTCCATTGGGCCCTTGCCAGTGAGTTGGCCGAATCCGGAATCCGGACAACCCAGTGGGGCGTTTTTTGCTTATTCCTTTCAGAAGGGCCCTTTCAAACCGACCCAAACGTGCCCTTTTTGTCCGGTCGGAGGTCTGGGAGCACTTCCCCATAGCTAGCCCTAACCCTCGAAGCAATGTTGCACTTGTTAGCTGCAAACGAGGCCTGCTTGTCGAAAAAACAGGGGCTTTTTTCCACATTTTGGTCTATGCCTATCGTTGGGAGTCAGTTGCCACGCGCTAAGCACCGTGCCACTTCTAGTGAGAGTTGCTTTTGAATGACACGCACGAAATGGGCCGACAGTACCGCATACCGCATAGCGATGTAGGACAAGAGGATTTCATGGCAAGTAGCACGAACTCACCTTTTTTCAGGTGTATGTATGTGTCAACGTAGGGATTTTTTACCCCCCCCCCACATGTTTGTTTCGTATTGCTCTTTCAGCCACCCAAGAAATTGGACCCACCACTAACATGAAAGTGCCAAACGGCCAACTAACCAAGAGGAAAGTCGGTCTTTCTCCAGGGGTCTTTTTGCACAAACCCATGTTAGGTGGGAGGGTACCCAAGACACAAGTCGAGAAATGGAAATTTGACTATTGGGGAACCTGAAAAGAAGAAGTTTGGACAATTCAACAGAATGTCCAATTGAATTGTCCACCAACCTTCGAGACATGGAACCTGAAAAGTGATTGGTGGACAAAGTCCCCGACTGTCGAGCCAGGCCCGAGAAGGCCACTTAGCAGGAGCCTCAACCTCGAGACGGTTCTCATGCTGGGTGTTCCTCCCTGCTTTGAAGAAGCCGCCCCAAAAAGGGAGCCCCGGAAAAGACCTAGTGGGTTAAGGTCGATGAGATGCTCCCCCTGGAATCTGATTTGCGCACGGTCACATCTTAGCAGCCGCTGGTACTGAACCATATCGTGACATCCTTTCAGCCTTGACTTTGCCAGAGCTGCCAGGCCCGTTAAGACCCGAGTCATGTTGGGCTTTGTTGCAAGGTAGTCTTGGCACTCTTCAGGTATTTCAACTTCGTCTTTTAGTTTAAGGTCTATCCCTTACAGCTGGGTGCCTTAAAGCGACAAAAAAAGAAAGAAAGATGGAGTTGTTCCCTGCAGGGAACAAGGGAAAGACCCCTATGAAAACCTCCCCTATGGTTTCCTTTAAGGGAATCCCCTTCCGGTTCATTCAGCACCCGGAAGGTACCCTAGCACCAGCAAGTCTTGGACCTGGGCATTTAAGACCAGAGCGTCTGGCCATCCGGACAAAACTTCGTCAAAGTTGGAGCGTGCTTAGCCGTAAGATTCGCAGCAAAGCCGTAAGACACAGCCCCTTCCATGTATATTGTTTAGATCAGCCTTGATTCTTGGCATGGGTGTGTCCTTTTTCGGGGGACCCGCAATTTTAATTTGAAACCAGAGAGGGGGTACCTAAAAAAAAAATGACACAGCCGCTCGTGAGTGTTCGGTGTTGCCAACCCCCGGTCGCCCATGACATTCTGAAAATGCCCGAGCCGTCTTTTCCCGTTTAGCGCAAGACAGAGGATTGCCAGAAATCGATGGAAACCGATCATTAGTTGAAACATGACGTCTGGTACAATGAGCGTCCGGAATATAGAAGCTACGACCGACCGCGACATTTTCTCCAAAACGTGTGGCAAACATGAGTTACGCGCTGGCTACAACCTGTGTGTCAATCAAGTAGCGCCGCTAAGGATACCTGCGAGTTTGCAGCCGTGGCCTCAGTCAATCTCTCTCTCTCTCTCTCTTATATATATAAATATGTATATATATATATATGTATATATATATATATATGTATACACATATTGTTTGCGATTGAGCAGGCTATGCATGATACAATCACCGTTTCCACGGTGAATCCATGGATAGATTCAGGCGCGGAGCATTCGATTTCGAATGCCGTCTGCATTCTGTAGTCTGTCGACTATGAATTGCAAGGGTATGCTAAGCAGCCAGGTTGAAGCGTACGAATTTGCACAAGGCCGCCCCGATGCAAAGCACCGGGCACTCCAAACCACAACGGGAGAAAGGGCACTGCCAGGGCTGAGGTCACCCTGTTCGGTGTCGGGTTTGCCTCACCAGGATTCATCATGAACCTTTGCAACAATGACTTCAAGACCAAAGCGCGTGGTAGAAACTTGGTATTGGGTCCTGCGGCCTTGCTTTCCGGGCCAAAATCTTCCCCCGGATCCGGTCGAATGGGAGCGAGCTGTTCATTCGAAGGTGGAGAACTTGTGGACCACGAGTAGCTTCTTCGTGGCTCTGACGCTTTGCACCTTCACCAAGTTGGACTACAACGTAGGCGCGACCGGACGGGTACGGAACCCCTCGAAAAGTTGGGATGGTAAGCGACATCAACTCATGTTTGGGGTCGCTCATTTTGAGACTATAACCAATTTGCCGGCAATTGGTAGGCCCAATTGGTTGACCATCAATACAGTTACATGTGGCATGAAGCTGGTGATAGTGGCTTTCTCAGGTCGTAGTTGCATAGTTATTGTTGCACCATTAATATGTGCATCAACGTTGTTATCATGGTCAATGGCTCAGCATCACCATGATTGTTGTTTATCATTTATATATGATGATGGTGCTGCTGATGCTGCTGCTGCTGATGAGGATGCTGATGAGGATGCTGATGAGGATGCTGATGAGGATGCTGATGAGTATGAGGAGGAGGTGACGATGTCGGCGACGACGATGATGATGTGGTTGCCATTATGGGCACAGTGAGTGAGGCCTTTTCCATGCTCCGCCGAAGCGTCCAATGACGTTGCTCGAGATGATATGCTGCGCAGGTGCGAGGTTACTCAGAGCCCACGAGTGCAACGCAGATCTCTTGGTTAGTGACTCCAGCATCACCCAGAGGTTGTCCCACTTGTTGTGTGTTGCTTGACTGATCCAGAAATCAGTTCGGCAACTGCCCGGGTTGTGGTTCACCGCACCCTGTCCATTTCTTTGAATGGGGAGAAGCATGTTCAATATTGGGCGGGCTGCTTACTTGCGCCAAGCTTGTAGAATGGCAAGCTTGCGCATTCATGTGCATGCTGAATATGTTTCGCGAGTCAGCAATTAGTTTATTGTTTTTCAGGATGCGTTGCAACAGAATCGTTGAAGGGAGCTGGCTGGCCTTGTTGCCCGACAAAACTCTTTGTGAGGAATCCGTCTTTGCAGAAGGCCCACCTTAGCCATGGGGAAGCAACGACTGGGCAAACCGACTATGCTTGTAAGTAGAAACACCAAGCACTATGGCTCACCCAACCCCCCCCCCCCCCCAGCAAAGGGGATATCCTCAAACACGCTTCCCCCCAAAAGAACCAAACAGAAAGAATAAAGAGTACCCTCGAAGACAGGCACAGCCAAATATCCCAGTCTGGTTTCACCCATGACTGGAACGCAACTGGCGTAGGATTTTTTGCGTCCATGCCCCAAATTCCCGCCTCTCGGATCTCGCTTCATCTCGCGCCAGACTTCTCAGAGATCTACTTCAAGATCAAGCTCGGGGCAGAGGAGCAGCTGACGCCTGCCTGGGGCCGAAAGCGTCGGTGGATGCGGCGAGGTGGTTCACATCAATAAACCGAGTGT